TGTTGTGATAACCAACCCTTCTAATTTCCCACCCCAGCCCTGCAGTGCTAGGGAACATTTTGCAGAAGTGTGGTAAGCACGTCCATGCAGGTGGTCCCTGGTGGAGTTCAAGACAAACTGCTGGTTTCAGATTCCGTGTTCAAAGATATTTCTTTGGCAGAAGTGTGGGGACTATGTTGAGGTCCTCTTGGATTCCTTTGATGTCTTTATACACTGTGCGTTGGAGAGGTTGCAAGCTGTGTGTAGTTTTGTGATTATGCCATTGTCACGGAACAGCTGGCAAAGCGTGGCCTTGAGGTTTTGTCTATGAGACGGTTTTGCTACCAACTGGGGACCGATACAGAAGCGTCTTCTCCAGGAGCCCCCCACCCTCTCTTCAGCCTTATAGCGTCTCTTTCTCCCGGGCCAGACCCACCCTTCGGATTCACTCATGAATAAAGAGACCCCTATGGAACGCTCCTTTGAGAACGAAGCTGCTCAAGTTTTCTCCAGAGGTGCAGGGGGACACCGTTCTTCGCAGGGTTAAGGCAATGACAATTCTCAGAATTTTAACATCCTTCCTCTCCACAGTTCCTCTCCATTGCGGTCTTAGTACAGCCCAGAGAGCTGCTTGGGAGCTGCATCCAGAGAGGTAATCCGCGGTTTTCCTTTCCAGTTTCTGTTGCGTACTATGGGAGGACAACAGGGGCAGGAGGGAACTTATGGGTTTATTCAGGATCCCTGGCTGCCTGAGGTCTGAGCCCTCCAAGATGAAGAGGCTGAAACACAGTCTCTGACTTTCTCCATCTCTAACCTTTCCTGGCTGGGGCCTGTTGGCCTATGGTGTCTGTGAACTATCCCCAAGGAGACTACGAACAGGCTTCAGGGCTCTGATGTGTCCCCAGGATCCCGCCAGCCCCTTCCCTTGTGGCTTCAGGGGAAGTTAGCAAAGAGAGATTGCAAGCTGTGTCAAGCCTGAACCTACTCAGTGGCTGCTGGCGCTTCTGAGAGTTGGAGGGTGAGTCCCCAGAGGTGCTCACTGGCCCTTGCGTTAATAAGCCGGGGCTTCAAGGAGAAGCCCTGAAGGGGTGACAGAGATTCTGCTCCCATTGCCTTAAGGAAACCAGATAACTGGTTTAGGGCCCTGGCTCAAGGCCCCCCAGGGATTAGAGTCATGCCTGCCCCCACCTTTGATAGATGGGGAGACCGATACCCATACAGGTGAAGGGACTATTAGAGCCACCTGGTAGAAAGCAAGGGATGGTGGTGGGAGGAGAAAGACCTGGGTTCAGATCTCTGCCCTCCCACACCTAACTGCATTGCTGGGCAGTTTATTTCAGCTTCCCTCACCACCAAATCACTCATCTGTAAAAAGGGACTAATAATGCCTATGCCGAGGGTTGTAAAGATCAGATACAGTGGCTCACACCTGTAATCCCTGTGATTTGGGGGGCTGAGGTGGGAGGATCACTTGTGGTTAAGAGTTTGAGCCCAGCCTGCACAAAACAAGCAAGACCCTGTCTCTACAAAAGGAAAAAGAAAAAGAATTAGCTGGGCACGATGGTGTGCACTTGTAGTCCCAGCTGCTTGGAGGGCTGAGGTGGGAGGATCACTTGAGTCCAGGAGCTGGCCGAGCTATGATTATACCACTGCACTCTAATCTGGGTGATAGAGTGAGACCCTGTCTTAAAAAGTAAAAAAAGAGCCAGGTGCACTGGTTCATGCCTGCATTTCTAGCACTTAGGGAGACTGAGGCAGGTGATCACTGATGTTCAGGAGTTCGAGACCAGCCTGAGCAAGAGCGAGACCCTGTCTCTACTAAAAATAGAAAAACTAGCTAGGCGTTATGGCGGCCACTTGTACTACCAGCTACTCAGGAGGCTGAGGCAAGAGGATCACTTGAGCCCAAGAGTTTGAGGATGCTGTGAGTTACGATGCCATGGCACTCTGCTCAGAGTGATAAGGGTAATAGAGTGAGACTCTGTCTCAAAAAAAAAAAAAAAGAAAGAAAGAAAGATTGGAGAAGATATATATATATATGTGTGTGTATATAGATATATATATACATATACAGTTATATATATGTAGTTTCTGGTACAGAGTAGGTATTCTGTAAACTGTAGCTTTTTAAAAAGTGCTGCCTCTACATTTATTATTACCTCACGGTTCATAACACCTTTGCTTTGTTCTACCACTCCAAGTATCTGAAGATATTCTGGGCTTTTCAAAATTGAGGAATAATTTACCTATAGTGAAATGCACAGACCTTAACTGTGATTTTTTTTTTTTTTTTTTTTTTTGGTGACAGAGTGTCTCACTCCATTCCCCCAGACTAGAGTGCCATACCCACAGCAACTTCAAACTCCTGGGCTCAAGCAATCCTTCTACCTCAGCCTCCCAAGTATCTGGGACTACAGATGTCCACCACCACGCCCAGCTAATTTTTCTATTTTTCGAGGTGATGGGGGGCTCGCTCTTGCTCAGGCTGCTCTTGAACTCCTGAGCTCATGCAATTCTCCCCCCTCAGCCTACCAAGTAGCTTGGGAGTACAGGCGCCACTACAACGCCCAGCCTTAAGTGTGGAGTTTAATGAGTTTTAACAACTGTCTATATTCATGTGGTAATATGAAGAAGGAAATCACTTTCATCAAGCTGTAGGACATTTCCACACCCCGGAGGGCTCCCTTGTCCGCCTTCCTGGTCAGTCTCCACCTGCAGCCGACCACTGCTCTGAATTCTATTCCACCGATCATTTGGGCTTGGTCCATGTAAGTGGAATCATACAATACATGGTTTTTTGTGTCTGCCTTCTTCATTCAACACAGTGTCTCTGAGATTCATCCCTGCTGTTGTGTGGTTGGGAGTTTGTTGGAGTCCTGAGTAGCATTCCATTGTAGGAGTATGGCACAGCTAGTTTATTTCTTCTCCCGTGAGAGCCATTTGGGTGGTTTCTATTTGGGGCTACTATGAAGAAAGCTGCTCTGAACCTTCACGTACACATCTTTGTGTGGACATGGTTTTTCTTTCTCTTGGTCATATGTATCTAGAAGTGAGATTTGCTGGATCGCATGGTAAGAATGTGTTTAACTTTATAAGGGACTACCAGTTTTCCAAAGTGGTTGTTCACATGTTTTTTGAAATAAGGGTGCCACGGATTCATTTTTGAGGTAGCTCCCGATTCTGTTTAGCATAACTGTCAGCCCAGGATTCAGAGTAACAGTGCTCAATTAAAGGCTTTTCATCATCTAGTTATAACTAAAGCTAGAACAATTCTGAAAACAGGATATTTTTTTAAAAGGGCCCCTTATTTATTGCCAAATTTTTTCCTAATGGCCCCATAATAACCTGTTGACCAGGCATCCTCAAACTATGGCCCACGGCCACATGTGGGCAGCCGAGGACATTTATCCGGCCCGCTGTGTGTTTTTGCCACTGCTGCCTGTTCTGCTTAGCAGCCGACTCGTCCCGGGGCCCACAGTCCAGCCCTCCAACGGTCTGAGGGACAGTGAACTGGCCCCCTGTTTAAAAAGTTTGAAGACCCCTGCTGTTGACACTTCCAACAGGACCATAAAAGACCAGGCTGCAGAATTCACACACCCCAACTCTGCCCTTTTACCCCGAGTACTATGAAACCCAGAGAAGCTATGTGGTTCCCCCAAAGTTACACAGCCAAGGAAATCCCAGGCCTTCTGACTCCTAATCCTGTGTGATTTCTTTACAATGCGCTTTCTCTGAATGAGATGGCATTCAGTTGTTCAGGCATTGGTTACTGAACAACTACTTTGTGCTAGATTCTGGAGATAAAGAAATGAATAAGAAATGCTTTCTATCCTCAAGGATCTCATCAACTAGAGAGGAAAAGAGTCTATTAAACTCTAGCATTTTCATTGTATTGAAAAGAATGGACAGAGTAAATAGATTCTTAGCCAGAGCAGCTGGCAAGCCAGATTGGGTGGCCAAAGGTAGGGAAGCATCCAGACAGGCTACTTCCCTAATAAAGAAGGGCCACACCAGATCTTGCATGCCAGCTCCTGTCCTGGATGCAAACAGACAGCCTCTGCCTCCCAGAAACTCAAAAGGTAGGATACGATGATGACATCACTGCTAGAACCCAGGTTTAAGGCAATTCAGGGACTTTATTCCTGGCACTGATCTAAAGACAGGAGATATGGTGGCAAACAGAGCTGACTATCTTATAAGCTTTCAGGAGCTTTCCTCGAATGTTGCCATAATATATTGGCCTCAAACTGTTTTTTAGATCTCTGCACTTTGTTCAGAATATATCTGTCTGGAGGCCGTAGAGCTGATGGTAGTTGCAATTGCTAGTTTCTAAGATGGGTTAGGTGTAGGTGCAGGACAGGGTCATTTGTAGATTAAGGCAGCAGTGGGAGTGGGAGAATTTGATGTGGTTTAGTACAAGTGGTCGCCACAACGCCCAGCTAGTTTTTCTATTTTTAACAGAGACAGGATCTCGCTCTTGCTCAGGCTGATCTCAAACTCCTGAGTGCAAGTGATCACCTGCCTCAGCAGTAAGGATGCCTGCTAGGCAAGCTGGAATTGGCTAGCTCCCACTGTCTTGCTCCCTCTGGCTCTCTAAGGGACCTGACTATAGGTAGTTCTGGGCCAACCGTGGCTCATTCTTTTGGGAGAAACAAACCTCCCCGGAAGGAAAGTTGCTGTGCTCTTTGGCCTCAATGTCCTCCCCTCTCCCCATTTCCTGATACTCCTCTACTCACGTTGCCTGATAATTCTCAATTGTGGAAGCAGGCGCTACTCAGTGCTTTGGGGAGATTACTTGTGTTGTTCCCTGAACACTGATTAGACAAAGGTTTGCAACAATGTTGTTGCTGACCTTCAGGAACTTTGGCAGCTCCTCAGTTCTCAATAAGAGCCTGTGCTTCTCAGAAGCAAGCTGTCTGCCTACAAGGATGCCACTTGTCCGAACTAAAGCCAAGTCACTTGGAAATGCCCGTAACAATTTCCGCTTCGTCCGCAGCTATCACCTGTATCAGTCTCCCACAATGGAAGATATGAAGAAGACAGCCATCCAGCTGCCCAGGGGGAGGCAGAGGCCTATAAAGACCGAATGGAATTCCCGATGTGTCCTTTTCACATATTTCCAAGGGGACATCAGCAGCGTGGTAGACGAGCACTTCTCTAGAGCTCTGAGCAGCGCCAAGAGTCCCCGGGTGGTGAGCCCCTCGAGGCAGATTGAAGATGTGATCCTAAGGAATGGTGAGTGTGTTGGGAGGGAGGAGGCTGGAATTCCCTATCAAGGCGATCACTCCAAGACCCATTCTTGATTGTACTTGACACATCTGGACACGCATATATTTGCTAAAAGCAAGTCAGGCTGTCTAGTGAGAAACCACACTCCTTCTTAGAAGTTGAATGTAAAAATGGGTGCTGTTTGATCAGGTGAGTCCACCTATTTTTTGATTCCCTTAGTTGTGTTAAGTGCTGGGTTCACTGCTCAGCACACAGTGAAAGTCCCACGACTTTTCACTGTTGTAATCTTAATCAGTATTCTTGTTATTATTGCTGGCTATGTTTAGAGATGGGTCTCAATCTTGTTTAGGCTGGTTTCGAACTCATGAGCTCAAGCAACCCACTTGCCTCAGCCTCCCAGAGTGCTAGGGTTACAGGTGTGAGCCACCACGCCTGGCCCTCTCTCCACCTTCTGAACATTTCAGGGCCCCGGGACTTAGGTTTTGGGCAATTTCTTTTCTCTACCTATACTCACGCACTAGGTGATCCCCCACGCTCTTGGTCTTAAATGCCATCTATATGTTGATCAATTTCAATGTGTATCTGCAGCCCTGAATGGATTTCTGACCCATCAATCTAATCGCCTACTGGACATTTTCACTTCACATGTCTAATAGGAATCTTCAAACAGTCCCAAACTGAATTCTTTTTTTTTTTTTTTTGAGATGGAGCCTCAAGCTATCCCCCTGGGTAGAGTGACGTGGCATTACAGCTCACAGCAACCTCCAACTCCTGGGCTCAAGCGAGTCTCCTGCCTCCGCCTCCCAAGTAGCTGGGACCACAGGCGCCCGCCACAACGCCCGGCTATTTTTTGGTTGCAGCCGTCATTGTTGTTTGGCGGGTCCGGGCTGGGGATTCGAACCCGCCACCTTAGGTGTACGTGGCTGGCGCCTTAGCCGGTTGAGCTATAGGCGCCGAGCCCCCAAACTGAATTCTTAATCTCCCCTTCAACTTGTTCCACCCACAGTCCCCTCATCTCCATAAATGGCAGTTGCAGCCTTCCAATTACTTGGGGTCGTGTTTAACTTCTCTCTTTGTTTCACACCCTACATCCACTCCTTTGGGAAATTCTATAGGTTCTACTTTCCAAATATCCAGCATCTGACCACATCTTCTCACCTGGGCCTAAGAAGCCATCAATCACGTCCACCCCACCCCCTGGATTATTGAAGTAGCCTCTTTTTTTTTTTTTTTGCAGTTTTTGGCCGGGGCTGGGTTTGAACCTGCTACCTCCAGCATATGGGGCCAACACCCTACTCCTTTGAGCCACAGGCACCGCCCTAAAGTAGCGTCTTAATTGTTCTCACAGCCTCTGTTTCTCCTCTCCAGTCTTTTCTCAAGATAGCAGTCAGAGTGATAGCACTAATTAACGTAGGAGTCATGCCACATAGCTGTTTTCTTTTCAACCCCCTCCGAGAGCTTCCCATCTCACTTGTACCAAATCCAAAGTCACAATGGAGCCCTACTTCATCCGGGACCCTGCTGACCTCTGGTTTCAAATCCTACCACTTTCCTCCTCACCTGCCTCAGTCTAGGCTCCTTGCTATTTGCAGACCATGCCAAGGACAACCCTGCCTCTGGCTCTCCCTTTGCACTTTTGGTCTCCCCTCTCCCTGGAATGCTCTGTGCCCAGATGTCAGCATGGCCTCGCCTCCCTCCATTCAGGTCTCCATTTGAATGGCCCTCTTCAAACAGGCCTTCTCTGAACAATCTACTTAAAAATAAAAGCCCTGGTTCTGTTCCTCTCTATCTTGTTATATTTTTCTTCTTAGCATTTGTCACCGCAGGGCATGCATCACATGTTAACCTGTTTCTTTCGGACTCCTCCCTTAGCCTCTGAGCTCCGTGGGGGAAGGACTCAGTCTTTTAACTGCTAAGTACCTAGCACAAGGCCTGACACGTGGAAGTGCTCAATCCATCCTGGTTCAGTAAATGGAACTGTGATTGGTATCACAGGGTATTTTCCCTACAGTTGAGGTTACCACAGAGAGGGGGCACAGGGTGACATGCAGCTTTAGAACCAGGCAGCCTGGGGACAGGCCAGTGATCTCAGGGCATCTCATGTCACCTCTCTGTCCATCAGTTTCCTCACCTCTAAAATTGAATATTAGTGAAACTACAGGAGGGTACTTGCAAGGAGTCAATATTACCGGTAAGCACATCAAGTGGCACATAGTAAGTTATTTTGGAGGGAAAGATGCCAAAGCGTGTCCATGTTCTTGAAAGCTGGATGGATGCGAGGATCTCCCTTTAAAACGTAAGGGTGCAGAGCAGCTGGCCTGGCCTGTAAGCTTCCACACTTCCCACTGTGTGGCTGCTGTCGTGTCTCCTGCGCCTTCTGACTTCACCTCGCAGCCTTCTGCGCAGACCCTGCTCACTAAGGGACTTGAGCACCACCATGTTTCTTGGCTAAGCCAGGCTTCGGTGGTAGCGTTTTCCCTGTGACAATCTCACAGATCTCTTGACTGTGAAGATGTCTTCTGAACACAGCCCGGTGTGGGCCAGGCAAATATTTGTCTGCTGATTGAACAAATGAAGGAAAGACGGCCTCCCTCAAAGCCTCTCTTATCATCCTTAGGAGTCAAGTTTCTCATAAACTGCTGCCTCGGGGTGGGGGTGGGGGCACAAAAGACTTCCATTCCTATGGGGAGATTCGCACTGGAGGTGTTACAGGACACACACACAGGTTTGAAAACAGTGGGGAATCTGTAAAGTGGTCTTTCATTACTGACTGTTAACATCCTCTCAGCCCCTGCAGGCCAGCACCAAGCCACCCAGCCCGGCTAGGCCATGCTGGAAACAGGTCCCCATTCACGGGCTCCCAGTGCTGACTCACCCACATTCTCAGGGCACTCTGCGGAGCCAAATATGCAAAACCCAAACACAGAGACCCATGTGGCTAGGAAATGCCATCAAATTTCCTGGCTTCTCTTCCCAAATCAATGTTACGTTTTTATTTACTTACGTTATAATTTATAGTGGCTATACTTCAGAAAAGAAAGCTCAAGTTGAAGGTATCTTTTTAAATGATGCCTCTTTTAAAAGGATGCTGGAGATTTCAGAGCCGGTAATGAGAAGCTTCAGCGACTATGGTTTCTGTGAGGAAGGGACACCAGCCTGGTGCACACTCACTCTGAAATCTTCCTCCCCTCCCCCAGCCCAACCTCAGGCCTGGCTGAGAAAAGGTGCGAGCACCCAGTGATCTTTTCTAGCCAGTTTCAAAGGGTCTTTCCCCCTTCTCTCTCCCCTCCCACCTGTCATAGTCCATGTGGGTGAGGAAGAAACGCGAGCTTTCTTTTTCAGAGCAAATATCTATATGAGATATAGTCGTGCTCATTGTTTACGGCCCTTGCGAACACTGACAGCTTCGTGTCTTTCTTTCCAGTGGGGGAAGGAATCTGCACAAATATATCTTGAGGTCCTTGCTTCAGTCCTCAAAATCACTGTGACTTTCAAAGTTCAAAGACAGGCGAACTGAACCTAAGGTGTTAGAAAACAGGCATGGTTACCTTTGAGGGGGTTTGCAGCTGGAGGGGGCTCCCGGGCTGGTGGTCAGCTTCTGCTACTCGACCTACACCTGCACACTCCTCCCCCAGTGTGTGAAAATTCTCCCCAGCTACACGCTTCTCTTTGTGCATTTTTCCCTGTGTTGATTGTACTTCACAAAACATTTTTTCAGGGGCTCATATTACCCTCATTTTACAGAGCAGAAAACTACAGCGCAGCAAGGGTAAGTGTGTGGAGGTGTCACATAGCCAGTGAGTAAAGGAGATTAAAATCCAAGTCCATCAGATTCCAGAGCCAGTCTCTTGACTACCCCACTGTTACACCTTTGTAGACCCAGACAACACCCCAGAGAGAGAATGAATACCCATGAGAACTATTGCTAATAACGTTTATAATGTCTTATACTTACTGAGTACTTTCTGGATGTCAGGCCCTTTGTTAGGGCCTGTCATATGAATTAATTTATTAAATCTTTTCACCAATTCTACTTGTTAACTTTTACTGTGCCCATTCTCCTGATGAGCAAACTGAGGCTCAGAGTCAAGTGACTTGCCCAAGATCCCACAGCTAGTAAGAGGTGGCGATAGCATTCACCACCAGTAGGGTTTGACTTCAGATCCTGAGCTCTTAGCCACTCGACTTTCAAAATACTAGAGCATGTTCTGTATTTGATCTCCGTTTTCAGTTGGGAAAAGGAACTTGACTATTTATCAAAAAGCTAGGTATCCCAGGGAGATAGCTGTAACAAAGAGTGGGGCTGAACAGACCCTCCTGCTGCCCTGGAACAGACTATCTCCTCTAAGCTGTCCCTCTGCCTCCGGAGTTATTTTGACTTAAGTTAATGCGGAAATATCCTCTTTGTTCTTGGGCGAGTGAATGAGCAACAAGTGTTACCAACCAAGAAAGCAGAGAGGGGACAGTCGGTGTGCACAGATTGCACAGGCCGAAGGTCGGACTTCTGTGGTGTAAGACTTAAGTGTGTATGTTCACAGGCTTCTTAATTTCCACTTCATTCTAAGGCGGGGTTTGTATTAAAGACACAGACGGAGGGAAGAGAAGAAAATCAGGCAGTCAGGGATTGGTCGTTCATGACGGTGACTTCTCTTTTGGGAGACTCCCTGATTAAATGATTTCTTACGTTTTTGCTTTAAAAATCACTTTTTGCCCAGGTGCAGTGGCTCATGACTGCAATCCTAAAACTCTGGGAGGCCGAGGCAAGGGAATCCTTCAGCTCAGGAGTTCAAGATCAGCCTGAGCAAGAGTGAGACCCCCGTCTCTACTAAAAACAGAAAAATTAGCCTGGCATGGTGGTGGGCTCCTATAGTCCCAGATATTCAGAAAGCTGAGGCAGGAGAATCGCGTGAGCCCAGGACTTTGAGGTTGCTGTGAGCTAGGCTGACACCATGGCACGGCAGCCTGGGCAACACAGTGAGACTCTGCCTCAAAAAAAAAAAAAAAAACTCAAAATCCTCTGGGGCCCTGCCTTCCACATTGTGTATGTGCGTATGAGATCTGTAAGGCCAGTCCAGATGGAAAGTGCCCAGTTGTCAGGGGCTACACTTTGTTTCTAATTTGTGCTAAGGACACGCAGTACTCTTATTCAATACGAAGCACAGACAGTGATTATACTGAGCCAGCTTAATTGCTGTATTTGTGCTACACAGTGCCCTGAATGGCTTCTGGCTTTATCAATTTTCATAAGTACCATTCACCCCCAGAGCACATCTTAATATATTGCCTGGCATTTGGTTTCATTAGAAGAGTGCGGCCGTCGCCCATCACTCATTGTGAACGGTGTGCAAAGCTGGGCACAATGTCTGTGCCACGTGGACTTGGGCTTCTGCGCTTATCATTTGTGTTACACAGAAAGCTAAGGTGGTGGGTGGTGGCAAGCCTGTAACACTGTGCAGGCCTCTCAGACGCTTTTATCTTGCACAAAGTGCAGTCAAATTGAACATTCAGGAGAGCTGGGAGAGGCACACATGGCGGGAGGGAGGACCAGCGTTCCAGACAGTCTTTCCAGCCGGCCAGTCTTCTATTGTCTCCACGCCCACAGCTCCCTCCATTATCTTGGACAGATGAGAGGCTCCAGGCTTTAAGCACCGTCTGGCAGAACTCGTTCCTTTTTCCCTTCTTGCCTGAGTGGGTGTTGACAATGGGGAAAACATCCATCTATGTCATGAACTCTCCTAGACACTTGAGACCTCAGTTTCAGCCGCTAGCATAGGCACAATTAGAATCGTGCCTGTGGGATCAAAGGCGATGCCATCCCTATTAGCTAGTCCATGTGAACTTTGCAAGAAGAAACCGAGTCACCTCTTGACCCTGAGCATTGTGCTTTTTGCAGAATGAGGTCCAAGCAAATACTTCCCTACCCATCACTTATCAGGGCAGCTTACTTCCCTACTTGGATAATCTGTTTTTCTACCTTGGTCTGGTCGCTTAACATCTTTGTGCCCCAGATTCCTCTGGAAAATGGGGTTTCAACCCTAGAGTTGTGTGAGTGACTAACCCAGGTAAGCAGTAAGCCTTTTTTTAAGGTTGTGTGGAATCATCCTGTTCAGTGTATTTTAAATGCCAGCTATAAAATAAAGCTAAGTAACAGCAGCAACCGAACACAAATCAAGTACTTTTACTTCTAGAAAAGTGTCTTTAAGGTGCTAATTGGACCAGGGTATAAAGATGTCTATATGAAAATGTTCATTATGTTGTTAATACAATTGAGAAAGTGGAAAGAACCAAGCTTCTCACAAACTTGACATTTGCTAGTCACGTGGCTGCCTTACCCTGGACTAAGCTGATGTTTGACTGTATTCATTGCTATGGGAGGCAATTCATGATATTTTAATGTAGCAAAGGCAGCTTGAATAACAATGCATACCTGAATAGAAACAAATTCTACAAAGAAGTATACCCAAGGAGGACTATGGCTATTTCTGGATATTATGATCAGATGATTTTTTTCACCTTTTCTATATTTTCTTCAAGTTAAAAAATATTGCATATATAACAACTGGAAAGAATCAAGCTACTTCTATTTTGAAAACAATTAATTAATTGCATCTAATTAATGTGTCTTCTAAATCTTTCCTTCTCAGATAGTGACATGTCTCCAAGCCAGTGGCGTTTCTCTTCTCCATGGACCAAGGCACAACCAGAAGTGTCTCCTGAAAACCATGCCATTAATTGCAACCTGAAGGCATCTGGTCCTGTGGCTGGGGACCAGTTCCTACAGTCCTTGACTGGGAGGCCCTCGGCTCAGCCTGGGGGTATGTGGCATTCCTCCTCCCTAGCTAGCCCCAACTCCCCAGATCCTGGCTACTCTCAGGCTTTCCCCACTGGGCGTCTGGTTCCAGAGCCTGATGGGAAATCTGAGTCCCTTCGAAGTCTCTTCCCACAAGACAGATGCCTAGCCAGTCCTCAGGAATCTGCCACGAGGGAAGACTGCAACCCAGTCCAGATAGCCGGAAGCACGGGATTACTCCTCAACCTGCCTCCCAGCTCAGTCCATTGTAAGGAAATGACTACAGATACTTGGAGGATTGGGTTGTGGTTGAGAGTGAGTTGGCATGGGATGGGGTACCAAGACTAATTGCTGCCACTCTGGACATGGGACTGCTAAGGGATGTTCTGTTAAACATTCTATATATCCTCACGAGGCTTCACTGACATTCAAAGTTTAAAGGGTTACACAGAGAGCCAGAGCCAGATGAAATTGGCCTAGTCTGTTTACTTGGCCTTACCCTAGAAAAATGATGCCTAAAATCATAGGGTCTGTGTTTACCTCAATGGGAACCTCTAAATAATCCATTTGTAAAACAGCTCCGTGACGCTTCAAACTCTATCCCCCAAACAGGTTGGCAACTTGCAATGATGCCAAGCTCCTGGGTAGGAACAAGGGCAATCTATACCAACCATCTGCTCCACACATTAAAATTCAAAGCAATGACAGAGGCAGCCCCATGGCTGCCTGGAGATGTAACAGTGCCTGGCTGTCATCGGCTCACTCCTGCACCCTGGGATCCTCCTGCTAAGCTTCTCTAGGGTTTCCCTGACCACCACTCCTCCCCCTGAACTAGAAACACCCCTACGGCTTACTTCTTACTTTGTTCACTCATTCATCTAGCAAATATTTCATTAGTGCCTGCCCACAACATGCAAAATACCCACCAAAAACAAGGCTCCCTTCTTTGTAAAAGTACAAGGAAGGATTGATCTGAATTATATTTTCACCAGAAAAGCAACCTTTCTGGTGAAAAGATTTGCCTTTCCTATGAAACACTGGTAATTGTTGTATATTTTATAATTTCCTGGGGCCAAGGCTTTATCCTCTAGCATTTTGTACTCTGCATGAGTTTTCTTCATATCCTCCTGGTCCATACATATCTGTGGTCCCACTGTTTCATGCCCGAAAGAAATTACTGGAAGCTGTCTTTACTCTGAACTAATCATATAGTACACAAAGGGTCCATTCAGTACCTAAGTCAGGTACTGTGTTCCATTCTAATGTTGAAAACAAATTTCCTATTAAAATGCCACTCTGTCACTTCCAGAGTTTGATTAGAAATATACTTAGAGAGGAAATCATAAAAATATCATGCTTGGGAAACCTGTGAAAATTTCCATCCCCGGACTCTTTTTCAAAAATCTTCTACTGGATTCAGAGGGAAAATCTGGCCAACTGTGCTTGTATATTGCCTATGCATACACACAGCAGGGCCCTGTTTCAACAGTTGGTTAGAACACAGATGGCTCAAATCATCACCTTCCAAAAATAGCAACTCTATACAGTTCAAATCCAATTCAGCAAATATTTAGTGAGCATCCATTGTAAGCTAGGCACATCAGTGAGAAACTATAATGCAGGCAACATACTCTTCCTGAAACCTCTAGACACATTCACAAACAAATGTTTATCACCAAGGTCTTGCTGTGGTGAACTCTCACAACTGTCCTGCTAATGTTGACACCAACATTAATTAATTGGTGACTGACTGACAGTCCAGAACCGTTGAGGAAGTCAAAGACCCTTAATCAGGAACACTGCCGAAAAGTAGGAACAGGGTCCAAGGACCCTTAAAAACAAACTCTTCTGTTTTTGTAACATCTGATAAGAGAAAAATGCCAGGTGCCCATAAGCTGAGGATCAGGCCATTGGGGGCCCCTGAGGTCTTACTGGGTACTTTCTAACCCAGCCCTAGAGATTGTGTTTCCAATCAATTTCTCTTCTTGTTTTGTAGATAAGAAAATATATGCCTCCCCCAATCGTGGACCTGCCAGCACCAGCCTTGCGAATGAAAGTAGGTATTTGGTTCAGCCTTTGAAAGTGTGTCTCTGTGTTCTGGACAAAGTTGTGGAGCATATAGTGTAAAAAGCCAGGGTTTCCAGCAGCTGACAGGATCCTTGTTTTTGTTTTCAGTATTTTCGTAGATAGGATTTGTTTTGTCTTACCCTCAAAGAAGAGCCAATGCACTTCCCCATACTGTGAAATTTCTTAAATATTTTCTCATTTTGCTATAGATGCTATTGAGTTGGGGTTTCTTCTTGGTTTGCTTTGTTTTTTGTTTTTTTGAACCCGAGCTGGGGTGACTCAGAAAAATGAACAAATTCATGAGGATTAGCATGCTCTGTCCCAGATGTTGGTTTTGCAGCCTAGTACATCGGGCCACCCCAGGACTCTGCAGTCAGGGAAAATGTCAGCTGAGGCCCAAGGCCAGAACTCTGGGCTCCACACTCAAATTTGTAAGTGGCGTCAGTAGGAACTCCACCAAGAGGACAATCTGAGTGGAATGACGAGAGGATCATCACGGTCTGGGCTTGGGGTTCAAATCTCAGCTTTGTTATTTACTAATTTTAGGAACTCACACTTCTCTGTCTCTCCCCTTCTTTTTTTTTTTTTTTTTTTTGAGACAGTCTTAAGCTGATGCTCTGGGTAGAGTGCCATGGCATCACAGCTCACAGCAACCTCAAACTCTTGGGCTTAAGCAATTTTCTTGCCTCAACCTCCCAAGTAGCTGGGACAACAGGTGCCCGCCACAACACCCGGCCATGTTTTTATTGCAGTTGTCATTGTTGTTTTAGCAGGCCCAGGCCGGGTTGAAACCCTCCAGCCTCAGCATACATGGCCGGCGCCCTCCCCACTGAGCCATGGGTGCCGCCAGAACTCACACTTTTTAACCACTTTGTGCCTTAGGTCCCTCATTTGTAAGATGAGCATAAAAAATACTGTCCACCTCGTAGGGTGAGGTAAGAGGATTAAGCGAAATATTATGCGAAAGGGCTTAGAATAATGCCTGACATATAGCAAGCCATTCAGAAGTCTAAGTCTTCCTGTGTGCCCCAAGTTGTTCTCTGTGTTCTGTATTTAAGAGAGGACCAAAAGAAAGAACCCCTCAACTCAGGTATTTTATAGTCTGGTGTGAAGCGGGGGTGGGGGTGGGGAGGGCAATATATAGACTCCCCACTAGAATGGGGGCTGAGACTTTGAGTGTTATACTGCTGTATCCCCAGCACCTGCAATTGTACTTGGCACAAGGTTCATACCTATTTTTTGAATGCATGAATGAATGAGTTAATGCTGGAAATAATAAAAAGAGCATGTTAAATGGAGATGATAAGAAAAATCTGCCAATCTACTAAAAATGATTCTGTTTGAGGCCCTTATGTGAGACAAACAAACAAAACAAGACAAAAAACAACCTCAGTGATTAATTGGCCATGTCTAAGTGAGGAGAGATATTTAGGGCTGATGTGAAAGCCTTAGCATGGCTGGGTCAGGCTTCACATAAGTCCCTGCCCAAGAAAATGAGATCTGCTGGTCTTCTAATTTACGAAAGTCAGGACTGTGATGTCTTCTAAGTACACATTAACAGTTTTCTATGTTTATTGATTGTGAATTTTGGAGTTATTGAGAACTTGATGCTTAAAACTGTTCATAGGCCCAAAATAACCAGAACAATGTTTATTGGGTATTGACCATGAATCACACACCACATCCCCCATCCTGCTCACTGCCCCCAATGGCCTTGGGCTGAGATGCTCTTGAGCTTTACATTATAGATGTTCAGTAAATAGTCGTTGAGTGAGGGTACATCCCCATTTTATACATGAGGAAACTGAGCCTAAAAGAGGTGAAAGGACTTACCTAAAGATAACACAGAAGCAGGGGGCAGGTGTAGCATTATCTCTTTGCCCTCACAGTGTTATCAAATCATCAAAAATGATCCCAACTCAAATCAATTGTACAATGTCAAAATTAACAGCTGGTGAGATTACTTCTCTCTATACGGGTTCCCTGTGTATCTGTGCCCAGGTTACCATCCTAGAATAAAGGAAAGTGGATGCAGAAGGCTCAGAAAGCAAACAGAAGAGCAAAGGGGTAATATCACCCTGAGAACGTGCCAAAGGGATGTTCTTCCCTTGCACAGCATAGTTGGAGAAGGTATCCAGCTAAACTAATAGCCTCACATCTGCCATTTTTCCACCATGGCCTGGGCAGTAGCAGGCAGCAGGGAGCACCAAGGTGGGGGGACTTCCTAGGGCTTCAAGTAGAAGGATCACAGAACCCAGCCAAGCCCCTGCTCTCAGGTAGGATAGCTGTCTCCCAATTTTGCCTGATGGCAAGATTCACTGGCAAGCTTCTTAACTTCCCAATCATGCCCCCTCACCACCTGGTTGGGTAGATTTGACTCAGGACCCAGTCACCTCTTCACATATTTTATTCTTTATGTCATTTATATTAACCTCATTTTGAAGTGAAATTGTGTGCACCTTTCAGTGGGAATTTGGGTAATTCTGAAAGATTTCCTATGTGAGGCCCAGATAAGTATTTGTCCAAGGAAGGAAGGCAAAAATCTCTTCCTGCCCCTCCATCATGGACCTTGTCCCTTCCTGCAGGTTGTCACATATCAAAGGGGCAGGGGCTGTGTATGACAGAAGAGCAGTCAGAGCCACAAGAGTGGACAGACCTTGGAGAAGAGCATTCTGGGGATGAGTCCCAACTGATGCCAAAAGTTTTCATGAATTTGGATTTTTTTTTTTTTTTGGTCTGTAGAATTAGCCACTGGTTATGCATCGCTTCAATGTACACAGATACTAATGACAGTTGATAGTGCTACTTGCCAGACACAGTGCTATAATACATATTTGGGATATTACAGTGAATAAGACGGTCTTGGTCCTTGACCCCAGAGAGTTAGTGGGGAAGACATACCCCTCCCCCAAAAGGGAAAATACTAAATACTCTCAAGTTATGGGAAGTGCTGTAAAGAAAATACAGAAGGTGTTGAAACAATAGGGAATGGGAACCAACTTATGATAGGAGGGGAAAAACAGACCTGTGTGGCTGGAGGGTGTGGTAGGAGATAAGGCTGGAGAGGTAGGCAGGAGCCAGGTGACGCAGGGCCTTAGGGGTCATGTTGGGAGTTTCCATTCCATATTCTCAGTGATTTGATAGCCTTGGAAAAATTTTAAGTGTGATCTAATTGGCATCTGATAAGGTCACACAAGCTGTTGCGGGAAGGATGGATAGAAGAAAGGGAAGAATAAAAAGAAAGAGATTAGTTAGGAGGCAAGTTCCAAAGGAAGATAGCCTGGAGGAGGTGGCCGCAACAGAGATAGATACAAGCTGATGTCTGGGCATCCCTTTGGAAGGGTTAGCTTTTAGGGCTTGCTAATAGATTAGATAGGAGTAGTGAAGAAAGGGAGGGAAACCAGGTTAACTCCTAAGTTTCCTGTTGGAGCACCAGGGTGGATGGTAGTACGTGTGTCAAGATGAGGAAGAGGAGGCAAAAACACAACTCCGTTTTGGCTGTTTTAAGTCCGCAGTGCTTATTGGACATCCAAGTGCACAGACCTTTTAAACAGTTGTATATGTCAGTGCGGATTTCAGAAGAGAAAGCTGGGTAAGCACTTGGAATTTATTACTAACGTATATAAATGCTATTTGAGGCCACTGGCTGTGATCACGTAGGCAGAGGATATGGATGTAGAAGAGAGAAGGGCAGAGGACAGGCCAGGAGAATGCCAACAGTTAGAGACTGACGACATGAGGAACCAATGGATGGGACTGAAAAGGAGTGGCCAGTGTGGTAAGAGGAGAGCCAGAACAGCACAATGGACAACAGAAACTAAAAGAGGAGAGTTTCAAAACAGAAGCCATGATCGCCTCTGTCAAAGGCTGCGAAGAGGTCCAATAAGATGAAGACACACATTTCTACTAGATGTGGCATCAGCGATTTGGGTGACCTTGTTAAGAGCATTTTTCAATACGTGATGTGGACAAAGCAGATTGGAGTGGGCTGAAGGATGAATAGGAGCGGAGAAAACGAAGAAAGAAAATGGCAGCAACTTCTTAGAGACATTTAGCTTTGAAGGGGTGAAGAGAAATGAGGTGGTAGCTAAAGAGACTAGTGGGGTTTGAAGAGGTCTTTTGTAAGAAGGCAAATATTTGAGCCTATTTGTATGGTAATGGCCATCCAATATAGACGAAGAGATTAATGATGTAGGAGGATGGGGATAACTAGGGTGGGGGTGAAGTCAGTGAGAAGACAGAATGGATATGTAGAAGCATTTATCTTTGGTAGGAACAGAGGCTATTCTGTCATGGAAGGACATGACATGGAAGGCATACAAAAGAAAGAAAATAAGGACATGGGTGCTGGCTGATTTGCAGGCTTGCCGGTGGGGAGGTTAAGAGAACTATAGATCAGCACTCTGACTTCTACCTCCTCAGTCAACTCTGGGGCAAGGCCAGGAGCTGAGAGCAAGAGTAGAGGACATTTAAAGAGAGTGGTAAGTATGCAAAAGTCTGCTGGGGCACAAGCCTGCTAGTACACAAACAGAAGCAGAATTTGGGAGCACTGACCTGAAGTCTGAGGTCATGAATTACAAGTGCAGTCAGCTGGGTTCTGTGATTTTCATTAGTATTAGTGTAATACACAGAAGAGGCAAACGGGGAGCCTCAGCCAGGTGTGAGGTTGTGTCAAGTGGATACGGTGCTTAGAAAATAAGGAAAAGAAGCCAAAGGTGTTTGCAAGTGAATGATCATAACAAGAGACCATGGTATCCAAGCTGCACAAAGAAGGAAATGGAGGCAGAAGGAAGTTGATAGACTAATAGATGGTGGTGGATTGGAAGTTATATAAAAAATGTGGTGATGTCATAAAATGGATTAATAAACTGTGGTATACGTATGCCATGGAGTACTATTCGGCCATATAAAAGGATGAGGCTTTACATCAACAGTTCTCAACCTGTGAGACCCACAGGAACTGTATTAAAGGGCCATGGCATTAGGAAGGTTGAGAACCACTGCTTTGCATCTTTTGTATTAACCTAGATGAAGTACATTCTTCTTAGTAAAGTATCACAAGAATGGAAAAGTAAGTATCCAATGTACTCCATACTAATAGGAAACTGATAAACAACTATATGCCCACATGAGAGAAAAACACAACTGAATTTAAATGGGGGGAGAGGGGAGGAGGGTTCACAAGGGTGAACCTTATATATACCTGGAAGGGTATACAATGTGGATGAAGGGCTCAACTACAACTTGAACTTTATCTAAGAAAGAATGTAACCTAATCATTTGTACCCGCATATTAATCTGAAATTTTAAGAAAAGCAGTGATGAAACTACTTGGGCCAGTGACATGGGAAGTGGTGGTTGGAGAGTGGATGTTTGAAATTAAGATCGCAAAGGCCTTATCACTGTGGGTTATGACAACAGCTAGAACGTGGCCATGGGAATGGATGGCTGAGGTAGAGGGAAGTACAAGGTCGTTAGAGATGAGGAGAATGACAAAAATCATGAAAGTAAAGCAAAATAAGAACCAGTAGCTACCGACATACCACACAGTTCTATTTTTATCCTCATTCAAAGATGGGAAAATTGAGGTTTAGGGGGTTAAGTGACTTATCCAAAGTCTAAGTAAGTGCTAGAGTCAGTTTTCACTGGCTTCAAAGTCCTTGGTCTTACCCACCAAGCTAAAGTGCAGCTTGACCACACAATAATTTGATTCAATCACATATAAAGCCAATGCCTTTTTCGGCTGGGCATCATGGCTCATGCCTGTCATCCCAGCACTCTGGGAGCCCAAGGTGGGAGGACTTCTTGTGCTCAGGAGTTGAAGACCACCCTAAGCAAGAGTAAGACCCCGTCTCTACTAAAAATAGAAAAAACAGCTGTGTGTTGTGGCCAGTGCTTATAGTCCTAGCTACTGGGAACACTGAGACAGGAGGCTCACTTGAACCCAGGATTTTGAGATTGACAGGTGACACCATGGCACTCTAGCCTGGGCAACAGAGTGAGATTCTGTCTCAAAACAAACAAGCAAAAAAACAGACACGACCTTGTAAACAAAATAATAGTAAGCATTTATTGAGTATTTATGTCCTAGCCCCTGTTCTAAAAAGCTTTATATGTGTTTAACTCAATCCTCACCAGACTCTTAGGAGGTAGTTGTTATTAATATCCCCCATTTAACATGAGGGAAGTGGGGCTCACATGGGCTCTATAGGAGCCCAAGGTCACACAGCTAGGCGGTGATAGAGCCAGGACTCATCATGCTTATCCTGTTTTTCAGGAAGCCAGTCTCCAGGGAAAGGAAAAGATCTGTTCTTTTATTGACCTCCAGACTGAAGAAGAGAATTCTTGTCTTCAAACCCGCTCATAATTTTCTACTGTGAATCCAGAGGGTCTAGAGACATCACTGTCCTTTCTTGTTTCTGAGCATTGAATTCACAGCAAATTTATGGCTTTCCCTAAAATTGTGCACTTCTCTCTTCCTTGGCTCCTATGCCCTACCACAGGGCTTTTCAAATGTATTAAGTGGTTAAAAGAGTTGATCTGGCAGGGGGGCATAGAGGCCCATCTGTTCATGCCACCCCTCACTGTATTCACTGCCCTTTTACTTAGAATCAAAGCCCCCTCTGTCTCCCCCAGCAGAGTCCTTCGAACCCAAACTGATCACATGGTAACCTACGCCAGCGGGATTTTTCTGCCCCGTAGTGGAGTCTCACAGCCTTCCAAGGAGGCCCACCTGGCTTCCATGAACAATGTAACTTTTCCTATAGTTTGTTCACAGTTAGTGACACCTGGAAAATACTTTCTTTTTAACACAAAACCATTGAGGCCACTCATGTGGGTATCCCCAGCATCTTTTTTTTTTTTTTTTTTTTTTTGCACTTTTTGGCCGGGGCTGGGTTTGAACCCTCCACCTCAGGCATATGGGGCTGGCGTCCTACCCTTTAGAGCTACAGGCAACGCCCTACCCCCAGCATCTTTAGTCAAGTTGGAGGAGAAAGGGAAGACTTGGTCTAAGCCTACAGATTGTTCCAGATAAAATGACAAGTTCTCCAACTCATTCTTACCCCAGTCCGGCCTTGTGGATACTTGCCCTGTAACAATCCTAGAAGTCCTTGGTGTCAATATTCCTCATCCATATCCTGCTTGTTCCTATATAACAGCTAAGAGTGTGAATAATAATAAAACTATACTTTAAAAAAATAATTTAAAAACTGTACTTTTTTTAAATTTGTTTTTTATTAGATCATAATTGTGTACATTAATTCTCTCATAGGATACAGTGTGTTACTTCTATATGCAGTTTGGAAAACTCTCATCCAAGTGGCTAACATAGCCATCATGTCTTTCTCATAATGTGTCCTCCTTAGCAAAGTGTCTCAAGAATGGAAGAAAAAGTATCCAATGTACTCAACACTATTATGAAACTAATTGTTAGCTATCTTAGGAAAGCTACAATCCAAATGGAGCCCTAGACTACGGGGAAAGGGGGGGAGGGGAGGGGGAGAATGGGTGAAGAGAAAACTGTACTTTTTTGAATGGCATTATTCTGAATACTAAATTCTTTCATACCCATCATCTCATTCAAACTTCCAGCAACTTTGGGGATTGGAATTATTATCTTCATTTAATGTGTGTGCATGCTGAGGCTTGGAGAAGGTAAATGGCCTGCCCATGATCACATGGCCAGTAGCATAGCTAACACTGAAACTCTGGCCTCTGAATTCCCTGAGCTTTCCTCTCCACCATCGTATTTATCAAAGGTTGATATCAGGATATGAGGATGGCCCCTACATACTTTTCCATCCCATCTTCTATGTAAATAAAGACCACAACCCTTGTACGAGTGGATTGATGATCTTGCCATTAATATAGCAATTCTCGGCTTGGCACCTGTGGCTCAAGTGGCTAAGGCGCCAGCCACATACACCTAAGGTGGCAGGTTCAAATCCAGCCTGGGCCTGCCAAACAACAATGATGGGGGCAACCAAAAAAATAGCCGGGCATTGTGGCGGGCACCTGTGGTCCCAGCTACTTAGGAGGCAGAGGCAGGAGACTCACTTGAGCCCAGGAGTTGGAGGTTGCTGTGAGCTGTGATGCCATGCACTCTACCCAGGGGGACAGCTTGAGGCTCTGTCTCAAAAAAAAAAAAAAATAGCAATTCTCCCATCTCAAGGACAGTTTTTCCAGCATGTTACTAGATTTCGTAAGAGGAGAAAAGACTTAAGCAGTACATTTTCTCTCCAAGGTATTTACCTTCAAAAGCCATGTTCTTTTATAGGTGATGGTTGAAAAAATTTAGGGTGAAAGCTGATTCTACCACTTGTGATGTGTAATTATACAAGTGTGTGTTTACCTTGGCTTGTTCTAGAAAGATTCATCTGCCTTAGAAGATAACAGCTATCATCAGAACTGAACTCTTACCATGTAGTTTAGGTAAAAGAAGAAATGATTCCAGTAAATCTGGCGTCTTACATAGCTTGGGTGATCTGATAACATTTTCCTGCAAATTCCTGGAAGCTATCTCCAGAATAAAGCTGAAAGCAGTAATCGCTATTCCTACTTTAATAAAGAGGGAAGAGAATGGGCAGCGCCTGTGGCTCAAGGAGTAGGGCGCCGGCCCCATATGCTGGAGGTGGTGGGTTCCAACTCAGCCCCAGCCAAAAACTGCAAAAAAAAAGAGGGACGAGAAGACTTCCTGGCCCTAAAACATGCCTGCTCCTCTGACACACACAGATAAACTTCTGGCCACATCCACTGCTACTTAATCTCAGACTTAGATTTCTGGCTTTCCTATATCCATCTTGTTTTTTTTCCTTTCCCACCTTATGTCCGAAGAGCTACCTTGAAAAGCATCTGTTTGACCCACTTTGGCATTTTACTCTTGCAATTAAAAAAATACCAACTCCTCCACCCGTACAAGATGTATGCCACCCTTAACAAACTAAGGTGTGTAGATGGCTCCTGTGTGTTGCCTCTGTGGCTTCTTCTATACTCTAGTTGATAATCTTGTGAGATGCTTATTGGGTAGGGGAGGGGAGGTAGAATTTTTTCCACTGGATCAATCCTACTCTTGAAACTGTGGCTAAGTCTGGACTTAATAGGACTACAGCTCATAAACCTCATTCACATCTTTCTGCATAGTTTTGAAAAATTGACAAGTGGCCTGATCACCTGTGACTCACTAGTTGTTTCAGCTCTATCCTCCCCACCGCCAAATGCGCACCCATTTCTGGCCTTTACAGCCTGGAAGAATTGAAATCGTTTCAAATGGACTGAAAACTCTCACGTACTTGAGTGATGCCTGTCTCTGAAAAAGCAAAAAACAGTAACAATTCTCTATTTCTGGTAGCAAAGACTATCTTTTAAAAATCCCCAGTGAGGGTCGGGCCCTGTGGGTCATGCCTGTAATCATAGCATTTGAGGCGGGTAGATTGCTTGAGCTCACGAGTTTGAGACCCAGCCTGAGCAAGAACAAGACCGGGTCTCTACTAAAAGTAAAAAAAAACTAGCTTGGTATTGTGGTGGGCACCTGTAGCCCCAGTTTCTCTGGAGGCTGAGATAAGAGGATCTCTTGAGCCCAAGAGTTTGAGGTTACTGTGAGCTAGGACACCATAGCACTCTACCCAGGGTGACAGAGTAAGACTCTATCCCTACCCCCCAAAAAAAATCCCAAACAAGAATGTTGTTTGTTAAGGCTGGGCGCCGTGGCTCATGCCTGAAATCCCAGCACTCTGGGAGGCCGAGGTGGGCCGATTCCTTGAGCTCAGGAGCTCGAGACCAGTCTAAGCAAGAATGACACCCTGTCTTTAAGAATAGCCAGGCATGTGGCAGGCGCCTGTAGTCCCACCTACTCTGGAGGCTGAGGCAAGAGAATCGCTTAAGCCCAAGACTTTGAGGTTGCTGTGAGCCGTGATGCCACATCACTCTACTGAGGGTGACATAGTGAGACTCCTTGAAAAAAAAAAGAATATTGTTTGTAAACCCAGTTGAGACTTGTTTTTAAGCATGTTTTGATGCTAAAAGTCAAATAAAATAACTCCTCTACAAATAAATGCTAACTAGAACATAACTGTTATTTTTCTCTCATATAAACAATGAATGCTGAGCTTTCTGTAATTATTTCTCTAACTTTAACATGATCAATTGAAAAGAATTTTGTAAACCATTTGTATTTTCAAAATATGAAGAATTAATGCAATGATCCACCTTAATGTGTAAGATTTCAGAACAGCATGCTACTATGAATTTTTACACATTAACTGATTATAAAATGAACTGGACTATAAAATTTTCATAATTATAGTTCTATCATTCAACCACTATTTTTTTCCTCTTCCTTAGTTCCCTCCATCCCTTCCTTCTTTCCTTCCTTCCTTCCTTTCTTCCTTCCTTTCTTTTTGAGACAGGATCTCGTTCTATCATTTGGGCTATGGCAGTGTCATCATAGCTCACAGCAACCTCAAATTCCTGGGCTCAAGTGATCCTCCCGTCTCAGCTTCGCGCCACCACTCCCAGTTAGTTTTTCTATTTTTGTAGAGACAGGGATCTCAATCTTGCTCAGGCTGGTCTTGAATTCCTGGCCTCAAGCAATCCTTCTGGCCTCCCAAAGTGCTGGGATTACAAGTATGAGCCACAGGGCGCCTGGCCTATCACTATTTCTTTATACATTTATAAATTAAGTCTCAAAGATATTCTCAAAAATATGTTTGGGATTTTTTATTCTTCATTTTGATGATTCTGTACTCTTAGAGCAAGTTCACCAGCCTATTTATGTATAGCAGGTTTAAGTTACTTTTTGGTTAAAAACCATGACCCTCCACTGACCTTTTCCTAACGTTGCTGCACATCTGGACTAAGAGTTAACATGCCTGCGTTCTGGTTTTGGCTCTGCCATTAGCTAGCTGTGTCATCTTGAATCTGTCCCCCACACCCCTCAGTCTCAGTTTCTCCATGTATATGAGATGATCCTAAGGTCATTTCGAGCTCTGAGAACCTAACTTTGAAATAAATGTAATAGTGATAGCAAGACACTTCAATAGTTGTCTCTTACTGGGTCTCAAAGAAGAAGCCAGGATCTGAATAACTGAAGAACAGAAGGGAGAACTATAGCAGCCATGGAGGGTGCTTCTGGGAACCCCCTTCGGGAGCAAATACGCCATTTAGCTGCAAGAAGTGGATTTAGTTGAGTGCCTCCACCTCTGAGCACCTTAGGATCTGCTTCAGCTGTGGTCTTTGTGCGTGTCCCCTGGCCAATGACTGAGTATTATATAGGGTACTAGGGCACGGCCAGTTCTGCTCAAAAGTGAGATCCTTCTAAAGGG